GATTGGTTCATTCTACTTCTTCCTATCATCCTGAATTTTTAAGCTCGTTCTAAGAGCTTTTGGCGGCAGAAGTAGAAATTTAAAAAAGTTATATCTTGCTGCCCTCTGCGAGGCTTGCGTGGCCGAATTGTATACTGCGGCCTCTTGACGCTGTCCACACCCGGTTCTGGAGAGTGATTGTTTTGTCGAGAATTCTAAAGCGATCAACGCGATTCGTGGCATCACGGTGGCTGGATTGTGAACCCCATACTTTATGTTCTTCTTGCCAAATGGTCTCGTTGATGCTTATGGTTAGTTCCTCCATGGAATGTCTCTCTTTGGTTGGTCTCTTTCTTTTCATCCCTCTAAAGGCCTCTCATCATTTTGTGGATCCTTCTCGGCAAGTGATCATACTTTTGGAATTTACTCACAACTGGAACGCGGCCTGGGTCTGCTGCTCATCGTCTCTTCTGCTATATCATCAGCTTCGTCGTAGTTTGCTAACTCGCCATTGGCATACAATCGAAAATTTCGTATTACTTTCTACAGCTTTACCTGAAGCAATACCGTGGCTTCCTCCACCCGTAATGATAGTAGCGCTGACGCCACAGGTCTAGTGCAGACACCCAACGACTGGGCACGTATTTGGGAAGCGTCACCTTCAACAAGCCATCGCAAAGCCGAGAAAATATTTTGGTGCTGGCCACTCCCCGCTTTACTCTCACCGCTTGGCTCTATGTTCAAAGCATAAGAACTAATATGAAATATGCCATTCTTTCTGCATATACTGATTTAGAAATGCTCAGTGCTTGAAAGTTTTATCAAGATCTGGTTAGACGAAGAGTATACACATTGATCCTAATGGGCTGGTAGTATTAATTTCAAACCTCTATAACTCTGTTCTTCTAATGAGATGACAAATGATAACTAATAAATGATAAAATTATTGTAATTACATAATAAATTCAAACTAAGGGTTGATGCTAAGCGCAACAAATTATTCATGAGTAGAATAAGATTGTGGATAAGCTTGACGGATAAGTTTTGGTTTAGTTTGAAAGACAGCTATCCATGAAGGTGGCAATAGAAAGTTAAGAAAATATCAAAGGGAAATAGAGCCAATTTATTATTAATGCAAGTTCATTAGGCTCTTCTTAATTTGTTGTAAAATTTAAGATTGGCTTGGATGTAAGAAGTGGAATTCTTTGTACCCTTTACAAGCGGACAACTCTTTCCATGATGTGTAGGCTTGTGGTGTTTGTTTCTTCGGAGAAGATGAAGTATTCTAATCACCCTGTTGACCATATATTTGACCGGACAAGGAAATTTAGCTGCTTCCGAGCTTTGAAAACAATTAACTTCTAGCTTTTTCGACGAGCAATGCATCAGTTTCAACCATTGTTTGGGAGCCACATCACAGTTTATATCACGTGGCATATAGGGAATCCTGGATTCGAATCCTGGATCGTAAGGTTTACGATGAGGCTATGTGGCCTACAGGCGCTATTCCAGGCGCAGCACGTACGCTTTACCGGCTTGTGCGACATCTGGCGTGGGCCTGATTCCGTCTAGCACCTTCTTCATGAGGCAACAAAGTGTTGAAGCTTGGAGCTCCCGCATTTTCAATGGCTTCAAGTCTGTTCTATTCTCCGTGCTGTTCCAATGGCCCGGCCTCCGGAACCAGAGCCTCGGGTTTGAAGTCCAGACGCCGCAGCAGCTCCATCAGAGCCACGATGAAGCAAAGTAAGTTGGAGAGTGATGGAGCTACTGCGATGAATCAAAGTAAGTTGGAGTATGATGGAGCTACTGTGACGAATCAAAGTAAGTTGAAGAGTGATGGAGATACTGCGATGAATCAAAGTAAGTTGTTGTTTTGAATTGTATTCCGAGCTCATTCTGATTTCTAACAACAGAAGGGAAGACTCCCTTGGAGCTGCATGTTGAATTTTTCGATAGGGATGGGGATGGCAAAGTGTACCCCTGGGAAACGTACAATGGTATGCTGTTAAGTTGTTAGAGATTTCTTCGTCTCAGTTCCTCTATTTTGTGGTCTTGTTTAGGATTCAGAGCGTTGGGTTTCGATATTCCCTTCTCTGTTTTCAGCACACTTGCACTTAATGTTGCCTTGAGCTATCCGACGTTGGAGGTCTCCCTTTCATATTATTCGATGAAACATCTCATCAGCTTGCTGTTGCTGCCAGAGCTGGATCCCCGACCTACTCTTCCCAGTTCACATCAAGAACATACACAAGGGCATACATGGAAGTGACACGGGAATTTATGATCATGACGGGAAGTAAGTTCAGTGTGCTTTATATTTTCCTGACGTGAAGAGTGTTCTGTAACTTCCAGCTTTGACGAAGCCAACTTTGAGAAGACTTTCGCGAAGTTTGCGCGTACACATCCGGACAAAATGACATTCGACGAGATCCTAACCATGACACGAAGAAACCGCGATGTTAACGACTTTTTTGGATGGTAATTTCTGTTTGAAAGCATTTGGATTTGTAATCGAATTGTCCCTCGCGTCTGCAGGGCCGCAGCCCAGCTCGAATGGCGACCTGCTTACGAAATAATGAGAGACCAGGACGGCTTCGCTTCAAAGGAGGATATCCGAGCAATCTACGACGGCAGCCTGTTTTACCAAGTTGAGCAACGCGTAAAGGGGGCCAAGGAGGTTTCGTAAACTCTTAATCTTAATCGCTTCTTTCTTTCACGAGAGTCCACAAGGCCACCGTAGCAATGCGGTGCTAAGCGTCAACGTGGATGTAACCAGGGAACAACGAAGCAAGTGGCTTTCACAAGTCACAAACTCGGAGCCAAAGCCGTACGGCTTTGTCCAGTGTGTCGAGCCCTTGATGTTTGCCACTTGGAACACGAATTTTCACCTTTGCTCCGCCCCTGTTGCCAGAGGCTTCAACGTGATGGTGCTCGCAGGAAGAACTCTAGCAGCGGTATGAGAAGGCTGGTCAGAGGACTCGCTATAGACTGTGCAAGCAAAGAAACTTGAGAGAGCACCTCGATTCGAAGCTATGCTCCTCCGACGTCTTCACTCTGGCGCGTCTCATGCGCGAGTGTGGTTCTCTGGGAAGCCTGCTACATGCACAAAAGATTCACAGTCACGTCGTAGAGTTTGGCTTTCAGGAAACCTTTTACCTGCGTGAGCGCCTCGTCGACATGTACCTCAAGTGTAGAGAATGCCGAGGACGTGTTCTTGGACAAAGTCGAACACAAAGTTTCTTGGACGACAAAGTCGAAGTTTCTTGGACAAAAAACCGACCGTGATTGAACATAACAGAGAGTTTATTAGCGCGGTAGCACTAGACCTGGCACGGCAACACTAGATAGCTCTAGCAATCAAGCAGCTTTCTCCTTAAAAAAAATTAAAAAATTAAATGGTAAGTATTGATACTTAGCTTTAAGGTTTGTGTGAACGTTAAATTTCACCCTTAACTTTAATAAGGGTGTGAAAAAAGGCTGAAACCAATATAAGACACATTTGAGGTCTCTTCATAGCTGTTAAATGGCGATGTCCTTTTTAACTCTCCTGCTGTTTGCTTTGGAAGAAATGGCATTATAACTGTACAATTGGTCAAATCTATATTGTACAAACATAGCTGCCCTTCGGAGTTTAATCGCAGCCGTTGGTGACGCAAACAGCCAGTAGCCTGCCACGTCAGACTAGAATATCTGGGAATATATCTAAATATCTTTGGGAGAAGAGAACGAGAGAAGATCAAAGAGAGAGAAGAACTACCAAGATGCAAGCTGCCGGAGTTCCAATCCCGTACCAGCTCCACCAAAGAAATCTACCAGGATTAAAATCTCGGAGGAGCTTCGCGGGGATTTGCTCCAGGAGGATCAATCGAGTGGCGACTCTAGCAGCGAAGCCAGACGACGAAGATTATGTCTCCTACGAGGGCGAGCAATCGTAAGTTCTTCGAAGAAATCTCTTCCTACAGTACTACCTGGAGAGAATTGAGCTCTTTCTTACAGCGTTTTCCCGGCCGAAGCTGGCGAAGAGGTCGGGACTTCGGTCGAAGGCTTTGGAAAGGAGGTGAAGCCCAAGCCATCGCCACCGAAGAAAGTGAAAGCCGTGAAGCAGCCTGATCGCGATTACGTCGACTACAAAGAAAAAAAAACGTAATAACTCCAACAACGAGAACGGAAGGGAAGAGATCTAACTTACAATTGGTGCTTGGCAGTGTGTTCCCTGGAGAGGCCTGCGATGAACTTGGCGGAGATTTCTGTGAGCCTGAGTACCAGGAAGGCGTCTTTCCAGATAAGGTTGCTTCAAACAAGTAGTGTACCTGTAACGATGGTCTGGTGATTACAATTCAAATCGACTTTCTTCATGTCGTCGGCTAAAATGCCGCTTCATATCCTAGAATTCACGAATCTCCATCAAATAATTAGCCTAGAGTTGCAAAGAATGAGTCGAGGAGCTGTGTCCTGATACAACCTCTATCGCGCTACCAAGAGGCCAGGCTGCTTCCACTTCGTAGCCTTTGTATTGGACACGCTTCACGAGCGTGATCTTCTCGTTGGCCGGAATACCTGAGGAACAACATCGTCAAAGGATGAAACGAAGATACACGAAGCTTACCGAAGCCTTTGACGAGAAGATCATATTGGTATAGGACATCCATGCATATGTACGGCAGCGCAAGCTCTGGAACGCCTGGGAACTTCTTTGGCATGTCCTCGTAACTCGTCGAACAAATCGATGTGGCGGCGTCTCTGAACTGAGAGGGCTCAACAACTGCCTCTGAAACCTGTGGATCTTTGATGATTCCAATCTGAAACATTGAAACAAGCCTGAGTGTTGCAAAAACACATGCGTATATACATACCTCAGATGCTCGATCGAAAAAGAATGAGGCCACAAAGAGTTTTTTTTGACCCGCACCGCCGCCACCGCTCCAGATTCCCTTGAAAGTGCATTTGAGATAGTTACATGTGTGATTTATCTCGAGAGCGCTGACAATGAGATCGCTACATCGATCAAAATCAGCACCCCCCACGGCATCAAAAGTCTCTGATCCATATACGTATTGGCCTGGAACAGAACTATCATTCAAGCCTGATAAGCTGATCGGCCAATGCTTACCTTTGAAGCCAGAGGTAACACAAGGATTTTCATCATTGGTCTTTACAAGTCGGAGCACCTCTGCCCGAGCTGCTAGCAAGCCATAGTGCAAGTAGCTGCATCGCATCACACCACATAATGTCAGTGACGAGAGGTCTTTGGAAGCGACCAATGATGAACATACCTGTGAACATACAAATAGTATGTTTTTCCGAGAAGCGTCAGAGTCTTGACGTAAGCGTCTTCGCCAGCTGCCGCCTTTGGAGCTTTTGCGGCGTCCTCTTCAGTAATTGCGTAAGCCATTTGCACCGAGCCTCCCCCAAGATCTACAATTCCAACAGTTTCGGAAAGGTCTTTTCCAAGGCGGCCTAGTAAATAGTTTACTGTAACCTGCAGTTACATATGAGCTTTTAGAAAGACACATAGAAAACACCAAAAGAACTACCCATTGAAATGATCCTTCGTCGGCCCCATCAAGAATGCTAACCCAGGATGGATCGAACTTAAAGCTGCTATTTGTTAAAAGATCTCTAACCTGCGAGAAAGTTGTTTTACTGCTCAGACTAAAAGCTCGTCCAAAGACATACCTCTTCTAAAATCTCATTGGCTTTTCCACCAGGTAGAGTTCTCAATCCCGCTGTAGCCTTTACAAAAAACAACATCATGTGAAAACAATAGCAGCAAAAAATATTTCCATACCCCGAGACGAACTGGAGTTTTTCCTTGCAAATTCTCTGGCACCACCTTCAAAGCAGCATCCAGTAGTGGCTTTAAGGAGTTGGCTGCTGCTCGTGGATCAGAGGCATAGTAGCTCAATCCAGGCTTTAACTGCAAGGAAGAAAGAAAGAACTAAAAGTTAGCTCACCAAATTCAAAAGGACAAAACCAGTTCCTTACCTGCCTAAAAAGTTCAAGACCATTGTCCATGGCGAGTAGCTCTAGATCGGAACTAAATCGAAAGACATGGACTCTACTTCCAGAGCTCCCCGCGTCAAAGATCACAGCGAAGCTCGACTGGCTCCCAAATGCCTCGCGATCAAAAGGATCCGTGATGGACACTGCGCCATTCTCCAGCGTCGACCGTGGCATGAGCAGCATCACGGCCAAGATCAATCCCAGCGGGATCGATACCAGTAACAAGACCCCCCTGTACTTCGCAAATTTCTCCTGGGAGCTCTCATGCCGCATCCGCCTCATCTGTTCCTCAAATTCCTCGTCGCTGCCCGAGGAGCCGCCACAAGCCTCCTCAAGATTTGTACCTCGGTGCCGGACGCTGCTGCTCGCGACGATCGGCACGTCCTGGATCTCCAGATCCGACGCGCAATGCGCCACTCCAGATCGATCGATCGATCGATCCAAGCGCCAAATTATTTCTACCCAGCCCTACCCAATAAGAGCCCTTGCCCTATAATTTTAAAAGATATGGCTATGGCTTCCACCTCTCTTCATTCTCCCGCGATGGATTTCCAGCGCCTCAAGCGAAATCCTGGCAAGAAATTCCACCCAGTGCCATCGGCTTCAATGCGGGTATTGATCCATTCCATTCCTTGCCGCTATCGATCGATCTTGGAATCTAGGACGCCAAGGAGCTCGTCCAATCCGGCGCAGTGATCGCGGTATCGCCCAAGGAAGCCAAAACCCTAATCTCTGAGCGTGGATTCAAGCTCCTGGATGTGAGACCGATCTGGGAGCGCCAGAAGTCTTTCGTGGCCGAATCGATCCACGTCCCGCTGTTCGTGGAGGACGACGATCTCAGCCCCATAACGCTGCTCAAGAAGTGGATCCACTTTGGCTACATTGGAATGTGGATGGGGCACAAGCTCACGGCTGTCAACACCCAGTTTCTCGATCAGGCGCTCGATGCTGCCGCGCGGAGTAAAGATTCCAAGCTCCTGATCGCTTGCGGCGAAGGACTACGGTCAGATCGATCGATCGATATCAACTGTTTGATTGAATTGAGCTCTATCTCGCAGGTCCTTGCTCGCGATCGAGAAGCTCCACGACGATGGATTCACTAACCTGGCGTGGCTGGACGGCGGATTTGGAGCTGCCAAGAGAAGAGAATTCGAGGGGGTCGAAGGGACGGAGCTTCGATTCGCCAGTATTGGAGGATTTGCGCAGTACTTCCTCCAAATCATCCTGTTCTTCCAGCGCGAGAGCGAAGAACCCTAAAAACAGAGCCCCCCAAGAGCCCTAAAACAGAGGCCCTGTTTTCTTCCATGGTGGTGATTATAGGGTCTAGGATCGCGGCTCCATTGGCGTCAATCCCGCGATTCCCAGCAGCGCCCAGGAGCCGATTCGCGAGCTGCAAGCCCATGGCGCAAGAAATTCCCACCGCGGAGGCCGCGAAGGAGGACGTCCTCATCCAATACGTGGTCATTCGCAAGGATCTCGTGGAGACGATGAAATGGCCACTGGGGAGCGTGATGTCACAGGGCTGCCATGCCGCGGTGGCCGCCGTGTGGATGCATCGCGAAGATCCAGACACGATCGAGTACTGCTCGCCCGAGAAGATCGACACAATGCACAAGGTAGGGGAAGATCCCAACTTCCAATTCCATGGCATTGTTGATTGATCGAGCTGAGAATTTCCAGGTGACCCTGGAGGTGAAAGGCGAGATCCAGCTCCTCAATCTCTCCAAGAAGCTGGCAGAGGCATCGATCGATCACAAGCTGTGGATCGAGCAGCCAGAGAACCTTCCTACGTGCCTGGCCACAAAGCCGTGTTGGAAGTCGCGCGTTTCTTCCCATTTCAAGAAGCTCAAGCTGTGTAGCTAGTGTTTTTAGCGCGCTTCCATTGGCAATGAGAACTAGGGTTTTTGGGATAAATGGAGGATGTGGACGCCGGGGACGCTCTCGACGCGCTGCTCTTTCGGCTCGTCGATAACCAGCTCCACGATCTGAGCAAGAAGCAGTACCCGGATTATGGAGCGCAGCTCGTCGCCAAACAGGTTTGCGAGTAGTTTCTTGAAATATTTCGAGCGTTTTCATTCCAATTGTGGTTGAAACGAGAGATCTTTCGTGTTCCTCGCGCTCGATTCTTTTCTTGGGGATGATCATGAATGTAGAATGGCTTGCTTGATTGTTTTGTGGTTGAAACGAGAGTTCTTTCGTGATGATCATCCAATAGAGTGGTTTCTAACTCTCTCTCTCTCTCTCTCTCTCAGTTAGAAGCCGTGGCATGGCTCTACTACTTCTACTTACACAAGTCATTCCCAGGTTCTTTTTCTTTCTTTTTTGGTAGCGTTTGTTAAAGACGTGTGTCTGTTGTAGAGCTCGAGTACTACGATCCTCTGGAGTTTTGCCGCAAGACAGTGTTTTTTCGTCTTGGACTGGCTCATTACGTGAAGCCTGGACGAGAAACGGACCTAGCAGAAGCGAGAGTCCAGGCAGCTTTCTCTGCCGCTGAAGGTGCCGCAACCGGTGATACCATTACCAGAGTTGCGGTTCTCCTTCTAAGCAAGGACAGGAAGAGTTGCTTGCTTGTGAAGAGCTTGATCACTGCTGGTCTGTGGTCCTTTGTGGAAAAGGAAGTAGCGGACAATGGTGATCCTCTCGACTGTGCGTATTCGGCAGTTCGGGAAAATGTGGGTGAGTAACTTGGTCTCTTCATTCTTCTCTTATTCTTTTCCTTCTTTCCTTCAGAGATTGAGCCAGGTTGTGTACAACTTGAGCAACGTTTCCACCATTTCCGTGCCATGAGTCAGAAAGGGGACAACACTCGTCTGTATATCATGGTCTGCGAGGACCATGTCCAGCCTAAGTTGGGCAGCGGGATCGAAGATTTCGAATGGATGCCGCTGGAGAGTCTCTTCCTAAAGTATTGTGCGACAAGTTTAATTCTTTTATTTGTCTCAAAGCTTCTTGCGGTGTTACATACAGGGCGAAGGGCGATTTTATATCATCATATGGATGGGAAGTACGTGCATCTCAAGCTGTAGACTACCTTCATATTTATCCTTTGGTTGACTACCTTCAGGATTTTCTCAGGTGTGTTAACGTATCACTTAGTTCTCAATGTTAACTCTTCACGGGCTATGCAGAAATCACAATGAGAAAGGCAAGCACAACAATGGGACATGTCAAATTGAACCCACAGTTCGTGCTGCTGTCGAGGCGAACAACCTGAATAATGATCTAGGTGTTGCTGTCGAGGTGAGAACACAGAACTGTACAGAAGTAAACGTCAAGATAACGGGAGCGAACGTCATTTCATCCTGTAGCGGGAAAAAACGAGGACACGAAGAGGTAAGCAAGCGACTGTACTACCGTTGTTAACGTGTTTCTCAGGAAAAGCTCGCTGTTGCAACTCTGGTTGTACCAGATAGTGATGACGATGAGAACCATGAATGGTCTGCGAAGAAATCATGCACTGACAGCCAAGTTACACAGAACTCACTGGTAGAAGTATAATTCCTTAAAACTAAGCCTTGCTTTTGTTCTTTTTGTGTTTTCAGCTCCAGCTTTCAAGCAGTAGTCCGAATCCCAGGAACGAACAACCAATTAGCGGATTGAAAAAAACTTCTCCTGCTAGCAAGCCATCTAAAGGCGACGGTGGAAAGCAAGGACTTGCACAAACTGAGGTAACTTCACTTTGTATGTGTTTTTCCCGTTCAAAACGCTCCTCTGTAGGCTCCCCTGGATGATAAGGAAGGCATCCAAGCCAGCCAAAACGAGGTTCGCGTCAAACGCCCTTCTTGTTTAGTTCTTTTCTATATCCTTCACGTTTGATGTTCCAGTCGTCTAATGGAGGCGCCACACTGACTTATAAGAGCTACTCTCACGAAGAAACTCTCGAGCAGCTCCAGGCAAAACATCTCGGCCTACTGCTGGAACTGGTATGTTGGAACTTCAAATTTAAGTTGCTTGAATCCTTGGTTTCTCTACAGAAAAACTTGACAGTTAACTACGAACTCCAAGTTAGCACTCTTCTTGGCAAGATCGCCGAGTCGAGTGCTCGCCTAGCGAAGGCCACAGGGAAAAATCTCTGAGATTGAGTGACATGTAATCGAGGCAAATCAATGGAAATACGTGTTAAAGTTAAAACCGGGTGTCACAGGCTCGATTCCTGTAACACTCTTTCTTCTAGCTCAAGCTAGGGTTTATGGCGACAGGTGCGCATTCCTGATAATCTGGAAGAAATGGCCGGTTTGATCCTCCGCAGACGAAGCGCCACCAATGGGTCAAGCTCGCGATCGAAGTAGAAATCTAGGATTGGAAATTCTTTATGAATGCTGACCCGGAGCTCGCGAAGAAATGGTCGCGGCTCCTTGGCACGGCCGTGGATTTTAAACATCCTGGATATTGGGAAGGTATGAGTTCTTTTGATTTTCCTATTTCCTAGCAACGTCATATGATCTTCTCTTTCTTTTGTTCTTCCCGCTCGAGGACTTTTTCTAGAAGCTTATAGCTGGGCAGGGGGCCCTGGAGGTCCTACGCTGGGAGTGGCCAATGAAAACACGCAAGCGATCTAAAGGCGAGAAAACTAGAGACAAATGACCAGCTCCCTGACGTAGGCGTGGAATTAATTGGTATGCGCTCGATATCTCCATCTCGTGCTTGCTCGAGTCGTGCTCAATTTGCTACCAACTTAGTGCTGCGCCAGTTTCACGTGGTTTTTCCACAGGATTCGGTCCTCAAAGGAGTTGTGATATGTGTAAGCCTTTTCGCAGCTACGTATTTTATCGAGAGAGGTGAAAGTCTGGCTTGAATCCTTACGGCCAGGCTTGAGCTCGTCATGAGAGCTAGTGGTGGCGATTTGCTTTTCCCGAGTAACTCTTCTTTCGCAAATTCAACTCGTATTATAAGCGAGACTGAAAGCTGAGTCGCAGGTCGTTTTTTATGCGTATAAGCACAAAGTTATATCAGCACAACGTATACGCGCTGCTGGATCTGGCGTACAAAGCAAGAGAGGTATCTCTACACCTTTCGCGCTTGAAAGCGTTTTTTTTATCCTTCACCACTCACCACTTTCCGTTCGCTCTACAGGCTTTTTGGCCGCTTGTTTACTTTCAGCTTCCAGACGTAACATGAATGCTCTCTGGTGTTTTTCACTCGTCTTTGACGCTGGTGAATCGCAGTGCTACTTGGAGTCAAATCTAGACTGCTGAGGTTGCAGTTCCGGCCTACGATCCTCCGTCCACTTGTCCAGTCGGTGTACTGTCAAAGCGGAAAAATTCGGTGGCGCTTGAATGCTAAAGGTGGCCAACAATCAAAGTAGGACCATCAAAGGTATCTGGGGAGTGTGGGGGTATGATTCCCCCCTGCTTTAGATTCTCCAAGTATACTGACTCGTCGATATGAACAGCGGTGACAAGCATTCCATTGATCGGGTCCAGGGTCCCGTTAGTTCTATCGGCGCATTCTACATGGAAACAGACGTTGTGGTGGGGGACTCCCTTGATCGTGATCGCTCTTCTTCCCCGGTGTTTAAACATCCCAGTCGAGGAAAGGTACCCCGTTTCACTTTCGTCTCAAGTTGTGTTTTTTAGTGTGTGTGATTGTCTTTGTTTCGAACAGGTTTGCTTTGCTTGATCCACTTTGCAACGTCTCGCAAAGCTCCATGGAAAATCATGGATCGAACAAACTGGTCACGACTCATGGCGCTTTCCCCGAAACCAAAGCAACGGCGTCTTTGCGGCGACCACCGCTGCCTGTTCGTCCGGCGCACGGCTGTAAGTCTCTGTGCTTTACAGTTCACTCGGTGCATTCTTATTCTTATTCTAGGCTCGCTAAAAGGAGTGATTTGCGAAAACCAGTGGCTTTAGTCCCTGCCAAAGGCTGTCTTTTTTGTAGAAACCAAAGGCGAAAACGATGGAACGCGGTACCAATCTACGAAGAAGAGCAAAGGTTTTCTGGAGTGTCGACCATGACCAGGGTGAAAAAATTTTCTTTTAAAGGTTTCTCATGGTGGTCTTCCAGACAGCCAAACACGGAGAAGAAGGAATGGATTTTTTTTTGTTCAGTCGTCCAGGCCAAAAAAGCTTTGGTCGTAAAGAATGAGAAAATGGCACCGTCCTGACGCCTTGATGACTTTGGACAGCAGACACGCTGCACATACCTTGGCTATTAATGTGTACGGATGGGTCATATGGCCCATTCCCGCTTCGTGCAAGAGTCCGGGATATTCCCACCGTACGGTGTGCCCGTTGGGCGCCCCACCGACGGCCAGGATGGGGCCAGCGCGGCGGGCCCGCCACGTCAATACTGACGTGTCAGTGCCACGTCACTACGAGCAAGAAACTAGAGAGAGGATGAAAGAGAGGCGATGGCGATGGCGGCGTCCGTGACGTCGCAGAGGGCCCGACAGAGGGATTAGGGCTCTTTGGGCTCGCGATTTGGGGAGGAATCCGAGGTGGGCTGCCGCGCATCCGGCCGATTCTTTGAGAGATTCTTTGGTGGTCGAACAGATCAATCGATTCTTTTCCCCTCTCCCCCTCTTTCTCTCTCGCGCGCGCGCGCCTAGATCTGATCTAAAGTCGGTAGCGCCCACATTGAAAGCGTGGGGATGGATCGGTGCTCCTACATTTCTTGATCAATGCAAGAAGAGAGGAGGAGTAGTTTGCGAGTAGTTCTTGTTTGTAGTGAGCTCCCATTTTCCCTCTCTTGAATGGGAGAGGGGGCAAAGGAGGAGATCCATCGCCCCAGGTGATCTTCTTGGGAATTGCGAGCGCAATCGCTCCGGCTTCCTCCCATCGCCGCTGCCCAGGAAGAGGAATCGAGCCAAGATTCCCGAATTGCGCGAGCCAAGAACAGGGGGGTGTAAAGAAAAGGGACATTTTTTTTCTCTTTCGGTTTGTTTGGTTGTTCTTCCGGTCTCGATTCTCTTCGCTGGGTTTGTTGGTTCGTTGGATTGTTTGGTGGGCGGCTTGCCCCGGACGAAACCATCCTGCCCAATTCGCGCGATCTCGCGATCTCTCGCACTCCACCCAATGCTGAACGAATTCTCGCGCGAATGAGCCGCCAAGATGCCCCGGAAGGAAGATCCACAAGAAGAGAAGGAGCAAGGGCTGGAAGAGCAGGAGGAGAACGAAGAGGAGGATGGATTCCAGCAGCAGCGGTGGAAGGATTTGGAGGTAGCCGCCATAGCCAAGATCAAGAATTTCCAGCGCGGGAGGAAGAAGAAGAGTAGCAATTCGGCCATGATTCCTGCGCCCTCTTCGCATCGATCGCGGCTCCACGTCTGGCTCCTCCGCGCGAGCACCAGCATTCTCTTGTGGACGTGTATCATCCAACTCACGGCGCTGGGCGAGCTGTGGAGGCTCCATTTGGTAAAGCGATGGCCTTCGTGCTTCGATCGATTCGACTCGGGTGGGAGTAACAGCGGCAGTAGCAGCGTGGATTTCCATCGCCCTCTTGTCCATCGATTGGATCATCCGGCCGCCGCGGCGTTGCTGCTCGATCCATCTCCGCCACCTCGAAGTAAGTTTCCTCTCGTCTCTCGTATGGCCAAACTTTTATAAGAGTTTTTCTTTGCTTCTTTTGTTTTGCTTGTCTCAAGGATCTTCTTGGCCGTGACGCTACTTGAATGGATCTTTTGCTCTCGCGAAAACTTCTCTCTTTGTCTCGATTCTTGGTTTTCTTTTTTTTTTTTCCCTCTCGGAGTCACTTTTCTTCTCCTTTTTGGCCTTTATTTCTAACGTTTGCTGATTGATTGATCACCGCAGGAATTTACAAGAACAATGGCTATCTCATGGTTTCGTGCAATGGAGGGCTCAACCAGATGCGAGCAGCGGTGAGCTTTTCACGATCGAAACAAACTTTTCTACTTTCCTTTCATAACTCTAGAACCAATTCTCGTGCAGATATGTGATATGGTCGCCATCGCCAAGTATCTAAACGTTACTTTGATCGTTCCAGAGTTGGACAAGACATCGTTCTGGGCCGATCCCAGGTAAGCTTCCACTCAATCTCATGGTATCAAAGAAACAATGGAGGTGACCATCTTGATTACTCGCAGTGACTTTGGAGATATCTTCGACGTGGATCACTTTATAAACTCTCTCCGTGACGAAGTCCGGATCATCAAACAAGTTCCAGCCAAATTCGCACAGAGGCTGCAAAACCAAGCTGTCTATACCATGCCTCCCGTGAGCTGGTCCAACGAGTCATATTATCTCAACCAGGTGAGCTCTTGTTCTATCAATCCTAGTTTCGAGGTCTTCCTTTTCTTGATGTGTTTCGGTGGTAAGCTCTGATTTTATCAATCCAAGTTTCTAGTTCTTCCTTTTCTTGATGTGTTTCGGTCGAGTCTCGCTTTCGTTTTTCTCTTTTCTAGTTTTATAGTTCCTCCTTTTCTTTGATGCGAGTGTTTTGTCTAGTCCTTTAGTTTGTGGTGGAGTTCTTCTCAAGTTTCTTAAGTTGATGGACGACTTTTTCTTTCTTTTTTGTCACAGATACTTCCACTGATCAAGAAGCACAAAATCCTCCACTTAAACCGCACGGACGCTCGCCTAGCAAACAATGGCCTTCCGGACGAGATCCAGAAGCTCCGGTGCCGCGTAAACTTCCACTCTCTTCGTTTCACTCCCCAGATCGAGCTCCTCGGTGACAAGCTCGTCAAGCTCTTGCAGGCCAAGGGTCCATTCATGGCTCTCCATCTCCGCTACGAGATGGACATGCTAGCATTCTCTGGATGCACTCACGGCTGCAAGAGAGTAGAAGCCAAGGAGCTCACGAGAATGAGGCAAGTCAATCCATCCTTCACAGTGCGAGAGAGTACAGAAAAAAAAAAAAAACTCTCTGCAACTTTTGTCATGGCAACTTTCTAGTGTTTGTCACATTCCCTCACACTTTTCTTCTTCTCCTTCCTCTCTTTTAAAACTTTGTTTTCTGTGACTTAACACACGATGGAATTGTTTTCGCGCTTGCAGATACGCTTACCCGTGGTGGAAGGAGAAGATCATTGACGGTGTCCAAAAGAGAAAAGACGGGCTTTGTCCACTCACTCCGGAAGAGACGACTTTGATTTTACGAGCGCTGGGATACGACAGTGGCATGCAAGTATACATCGCTGCTGGAGAGATCTACGGAGGTGACAAGCGAATGGCAGTCGTAAGGCGAGCTTTTCCAAAGATCGTAAGTCTTCTCGCTCGATCTTGTGCGTCTTAACTTGTTCTAAGTTTTCGAAGAACCAAAACTTGTTTCGCAGGTGAGAAAGGAGATGCTTCTCACGGAGGAGGAGCTGAGACCTTTCCAGAACAGGTCCTCGCAAATGGCAGCCTTGGATTATCTCGTCTCGCTCGCCAGTGACGTCTTCATTCCAACTTACGATGGGAATATGGCTAAAGTCGTGGAAGGACACCGAAGGTACTGGCTAAAACTCTCCAGCTTTTTTCTTCGTCCTTGTTGGTGTGCTGGATCTCTTTCGTTTGTCGAGCTCCATGGCCGATTTAAAGTGGTTTTTCATCGCTTTTCATCGAACCAAAGTCTGTTTTTGTGTCCTTTCATTCATTCTTTCCAGTTTCGTGACAAGAACTCGTGTCCTTCCTTGCTTTCAAAGTAGAGTTCTTATCGAGAACCGAGATCCTTGGTTGTTTTGATTTTCTTGCAGTGTCACTGTCTCGATTCTAAAGCTTTTTCTGTGCAATCTTCCCAGGTACTTGGGATTCCGCAAGACAGTTTTACTGGACAGGAAGAGTCTAGTGGAACTCATCGACGAGTATGAATCTGGAACGTTTCGGTGGGACGAGTTTGCGATGGCGGTGAGGCATCTCCACGCGGAGCGAATGGGATCTCCCGTTGAGAGACGAGTTCTCCCAGACAGGCCCAAGGAGGAGGACTACTTTTTCTCCAATCCGCGCGAGTGCCTTGTTCCACAGCTGCAAGGAGATACGACGAGTATGTAGCCCTCCATGGTGCATGCATAGAGAGTTTTTCTTCTGCTGTTTTTATTTTCATTTTTTCTTTTTTTACTTTCGTTTTCATCTTCACGAATGTATGGAGGGAGGAGTGGTGGTGGCTGCTGTAAATTTTGGGTCCGGATTTTTGGGGACAACACAATTTGTAACTTAGAAAACCAATAAAGATTCAATTTTTGGTATAAGTGTTTAAAAATATTCTGATAAATTTAAATTTTTAATATTTAGAATTGGATTTGTCCATGTGATCGAGAAAGAAATTCTGAAAAAACACGCAGTGAAATGGCAAAGGTTCGGCAGCTCGAGACCCCAGCGACGAATGCTTCTGGGGCACAAACGGCATCGTCTCGATCAGCTCCTCGGCAAACTTGAGCAGCCCGACTCGGCTGTAAATGTCCACCATCGCTGAGAAGCGCTGCACCGCTTAATCCCGAGGTCCGAGATGATCAAAAGAAAGTAGCGTCTGCCTTGCTCGAGCAGTCCCTCCACTGAAAGCTGCTAAAACGCTCGCGAAAGTTAGCTCGTCCGTGCCCAGCGATCATAGAACTCCTGGAGAACTCAAAAGTGGGCATCTTGAAGAATCCAAAAAGGTGTTTGACGCCATGCTATACAAGAACTTGGAATCCCTCGACGCACTGATTGCCGCTGCGAAGCTCCTCGATTCCATGCAAGTCCGAGACATGGTTTCCTGGAACACTCTCGTCGCTGCTTATGCCCAGAACGGTCAAATGGATCGAGCAAGCGAGTCTGATTCTAGGTCGGCTATCATATGATAGACAATTCCGTCGTTCTCAGGCGTGCACGAGACGACGTCTCATTCCGGCATTTTGTCAAAGAGTAACTTTGCGTCGTCAACATGGCAGGCTTCACTAGAGAAATCTGAGGATTCAATATGTATGAATCGCTAGTAGTTTTCCGTTGAAATCACGCAATGAAAAAATTTCATAACAATTTCACAATCTAAACATCATGTGCCACGTTGATAAATGTAATATTGTGAACCCTATTTGGGAGCTCGAGGCGCTTAGGGCTGGCGTTACAGCTCGCCGCATTGCGCGATCAAGCGATCCACCCATCGTGTCTTTGTTCTAGGGCTCCCAGCGAGAGAGATAGCAGCAGATTGGAGCAATCGCGTTGGATTGGAGGCGGGGTTCTCATCTATGGCACAGCTCTCTCGTATCTACACGATCGATCTACGCCCGAGGGATCGGCTCTAGTCGCAATGTTGGCCGCGATGCCGGCTCACGTCACGAGTTTTAGGACGAGAGTAGGCGCGAGCAAAGATTTTCATTTTCTTTTTCCGACACCTACATTCGTTTCTACCCAGAAAAAAAGTTTCGTTTCTCTTTTGCATGGAAACTTAACTGGCTCGGAGTGATATGGTGATCAGTAGCCACAGTTTTGACTCCACTGTGCCTTGATTCACGAGTATAACTGGCCCTCGGTTTTCTTCACGTTTGGTTCGTTGGGAGTGGTCTGGTTTACATTCTGGCAGAAAACCGTGAGTTCGCTCATACTTTGCATTACTTTTTTTTGTTTCTCAGGCATATAGCTCGCCTGTGGAAGATATCACACTTTCAGAGGAAGAGATTGCCCCGGCTCTATTTAATTACATGAAAGTTAAGTGAGAAATAACAAGCTCGAGCGAAGAGGACGAAGAGCACAAATCCAGTGATTCAGGTAAATTGCTTTTATCACTTTCGTTTTCCATGCAATGCTAAGTTTTAATCCTAGAAGTTGCTTGATTGCACAGTAGTCCTTCGGTTTCTTAGTTTCGTGCATTTCTGCTTCCAGGTTGTCACACCAGACAATGGAGTGTGGTTTGCTCTCAAGCCCGCGGCCAACCAGTTAAGTTCTTTCGTTTTCCCTTAGAAACTTCTCTGGCTTTGCAGGCCATCTTTCCCTCTGTTTTATTTTTCTCTTTGGCGTCTGACTTGTCGGGTCCACAGGAGTGAGGACTCGGTGCTTCCCGATCATAACACCCTACGTGAGAATAACGTAAGACGATTTCAACTCCACCGACTTCTCTAAACACGCAGAGGTAGGCAACTTCCCATATTGCTGGTCAAGAAGTACATTGCGACGAAGCTAAACCTCGGCAATGAAACCGACGTAAGCCCTCTTGACTTAGCGCAAACTTTCTTCCACCCTTTCTCATGTTTTACTCTCTTGTTCTTGACACTTCTTCCAGGTCGAACTGAATTGCCGTGGCCCCAGGAGAAGGAGGAAGGTATGTATATATATGCTCAATTTTAGCTCTTCGTTGTTGGTTAAGTATTTGCAGCACTGTTTTACTATGTGCAGGTGATGCAATCCATTGGTTTTCTTGGCCGGTATTACACAGCTTAGCCATGTCTGTTCGCCTTTTCTGTGTATGATGGCCCAGGTAAAATACAGCTTTAAGTTTGTTTTGATATGCAGGGTTTGGATGCTTTCTTGCAGTCGGGATATTGGCGGTAATTAACTAGTACTTCTGGCCGGAACTGATACTAAGCTTGTAACAGGGAGTACTCTCCAATACTTCCGGAGTTCTTGCTGGTGTCATAGCAACAGCTGCAACATGTTTTCGATTTGGTTGTTACTTTTTCTTAGAGCTATTTTTGTTCTCTCCAGGAGCAGCACATTCAGCGAGTAGCGGACCGACCAGACAAGCAGCCTGAGCCAAGCAAGCAGCAATCCAGCACTAGCCAGGCAGCCACAGCCGAGCAAGCAGCTATCCAGCTCCATCCAACAACGCAGCGGTGCTCTAACAAGCAGCTCCAGGAAGCAGCGATCGAACTTGGTCCAACTCCATCCAGCAAGCAGCGATCCAACTTGGTCCAACTCCATCTAGCAACACAGATCCAGCTCCATCCAGCAATGCAGCAGTGCAGCCACGAGCAAGTAGCCCCAGCTGCAGCCACGGCCGATTCAGCTCCACCCGTGAGCAGCGCAGGAGCGACGGTCTAGATTCTAATATAATTAACGATTCAGATTTCTTCTTAACGTTCGAAGCTTATGTGACATCTAATATGGAAATTCTCCTATTAAGTGGACAGTAAACGTGGCAAATTCACTTTGAAAATTTATACATTCATGATTTACATGGTTATAATTGAATATTTTGTGAATGTTTAGCTATCCATAATTGTTTCATTTGAATTTCATTAATTGTGAAATTCTCCGACCATTGATCATCAATATCAACATAACACTGCTCATCCCAAATTGTCCTAAATTTCCATATAAACATTGCATCTTTTCGAAAGCGTTGTGAAAGGTTCCATATAAACTTTTCATTTTTTCGAAGGCGTTGTGGATGTGCCTGTCAAGCTTAAGTACTCCAGGGATGGATAGAAGGAGATGTCCTCAGAATCTGCAAAGGGTAACGTCTTGATCTTCATGCAACCTTCCAGATTAAGCTTCCTTAGCAGAGGAAGCCCTGCAACACCATCAGGTATCACATCCAAGTTCTTCAGAAAACAAAATTCCAGAGTTCTCAACATTGTGAATGATGTGAACCATTCTGGTAGTTGGTTAATACCATAGTTCTTTATTTGCAGCGACGTCAGCTGTGGGAACGCATCCATGGCAACTATAGATACATCTGGAAGCTTTCCAAATCCACCAAGAATTATAACTTCAAGTCGTGGGAGCTTGCCATCGAATGCAACACGGTCAAGCCAATGATTGTCAACGATTTGAACAACTCTCAATGATGGGCACTCGGATATGTTGATGGTGGTCACTTCGTTGCAGCTATCTAGAAGAACTGTCTCTAGATTTGGAAGGAACGAGATGGAGAGGTCCTTCAAGGAGAAACAGTTGGAGATGTTGAGGAGCTTAAGTGATGCCAGTTGAGAGATGGTGGCCATGCCAATCAAGTTTTGGCATCCCTGAAGGTGGAGTGTTGTCAGCATGGGAAGCATTTCCTGTGTTAAGAAAGGAAGCCCCTCAAGGTGGTGATAGTCACCAATACGCATGGTAGAAGTTACTCTAAAGTCACTTTCCCAAAAGCATTTCACTTCCAAAGTTCTCAACTTTAGCAATCTGCCCCAATCCCAGCCTGACAATAGAAGCTCCCATCCCTCCAGTCTCAAAATGTCAGGCAAGCCCTGAAAGCTATCACATGTTCCCCCCCACTGACCTTGATTTTTCAAGTGTTTCAAATGGGCCATTGTGCCCATGCTTGTTGGTAGATCCACAGCCAACTGTGTATCAATAATCAACACCTCCAACTTTGTCAACGCCTGAAACATCCCATCCAGATGGAGTCTTCCAAACGTCCTGTTTAAGCATTTCTGATGTTTGAAAAGCCGATGATGCCACCTGTGGCATGTCCACATTCCCCGACATCCCTTTCCGTTCAAGTAGATCAGCTTGGTGAGTTTGAGCAAAGCATCCACAGGGAAAGACTTCAGTTCCAAACAGTTTTCCAAGTTCAAATACGATAAATTCGCCAAGTTGCCGAGTGAAGCTGGGATGCTTTCAAGTGAATCATTCGAAGACAAATCCAGAGTCTCCAGAGTCTTGGGCTGTCCAATGCTATGTGGCAAACTTACCACCCAAGTGTGCATATCATGCACAAAACCTTCAAGCCTTTGAAAAGAGGGAGGTTTGGCAATGCAGTGAGACCGTAACTATAATCCAGGAGCAGGCAAGTGGTGCTGGAAACTCTGATCCCATTCTTCTTAGGCAGAGGGATTTCCGAAATTTCAGACCCAAACAGTGAAATCCTGCTGTAGTTACTCGTGAAGGCGTCCCCCACGTCCCTCATCTGCGACTGCCCAGCCTTGAAATAACACTTTGGGCCTTCTTGTTCCAGGATGTGCAAAGCAAGAGCCAGCAACGCATCGTGAATCTGTACCTCTTATTCTCCCCTGGGCAGTGTTCTTCAGTGATAAGTGCGTGATTCTTGAGCCTTTCTAAAACATTGGTGGCCTCTGCTATGTTGGCAACCAGCCCTTGTCCAACACCTGAACAGATCCCAGAATCGAATTCGCCAGTCTTCTGGAAATGCTGCAAAGAAGAGAAAGTGCTGCTGGATGCCAAGAGGCAACAATGCATCGTAACCCAGCTTGAGTCGCTGCAGTACCTGTTGTTCCTCATCAAGAGCAAGAAGTTGCCGATCCTTGAGTTTGCTCAGAACATAGTCCCAGTCTTGTGTGGCTGCCATTCTTCTGCCAATTACCTTCAAGACTAGTGGAAGCCCCCCACACTTTTCCACAACTTGCTCCAGTACTACCTTGCTGACTTGAGCATGATTTTGGTTTGGGAATGCGTTGACTGCGAACAGCTAGTCGGATTTTTTTGGCAAGTTCGTGTTGCTTTGCTTCCACCTGAGGAGATACAACCATAGCTGCTCAATATGTTGCATTATAAGCTTAAGAACGTACCTGAAACGACTGACCAAATGTTAGCCACAAAACTGGATCAAAACGTCCCTTTATTTGATTGTTGTCACATACTCGTTTGGCCAGGAGTGTTTTTCCAGCACCTCCTGCTCCATGGACTCCAACCCACTTGCTCCTTACAGGGGACCCCAGCAAGTCTGATACAACCCGCTCCAGCGTCTCTTCCATGCCGAAAATGTGGTCATCCAAAGGAACAACATGCTGTTCTTCCTTTAGAACCACATTAGAGGACACCTCTTTTTGCTTCTTCATCAAAAGCTCAACGACAAGATTTCGAGGAGCTGCAGCCAAGTGCTCGTGAATCGCCTTGGAGCAGTGGTCAATCTTGGTAGCAAGTGTTAGCCTGAAACAAAATCACAAACTCAATTCAGAAATATCCCAAGAGAAGCACAACCAACCTCTTTAGGCCATCTAGAACGGGATTTTGTAGAGACTGGCATTCAAGAACAAGAGGTTTAGCCTCTTCAACCTTGGCTTTGAGGGCTTTCAGCAAGGTATCCAGTTGTGAGGAGCTCAGAGAGCCCTCGGCAGCAGAATATTTGTTCATTTCACTTATGCTTCGGTCAATGAATCTTCCAACTCGCTGCACTTCTCCTTGCAATGAATTGCAGACTTGGCAAGCCCAATCACTTCTTTGACAGCTTCAGAAACAAGTGCTCTCAGGCTGGCCATGGATACAAGCTCTGTATTTTGCTTAACACAAGCATATAACGTCCTCTACATTCTCTGGAATAGAAACCGTATGGCACAGGAATTGCAACACAAGCATATAACCTCCTCTACTGAAATCTCTAGTTCATACATGCATGAAAATGATGCAACACGTTTGCGCGTTCATGTGATTGAAGAATATTGTTTGCGGTCAATTCTTAAACTTCTTGCAAGATGGAATTTTCTAAGTGAACTATTAAAAACGGAAGAAAAGAAGACTGAAGCAAGAACTAAGCTAGCGAGCGTACCTTTCGCGGAAAATCTTCCAAGACTGGAGGACGCTACATGACACACAATGTCCCTTCGAAGAAGACTCAAGCGGAAAATCTTGCTCAAACTGTGCTACGCGTTGGCTACATGACACACAAAAGTCTACATCAAGAGAAAAGAAGACTAAATCAAGCTGATGAGAGCCCTAACAAAGAGTTTCTTTTAGGGCTTTAAGGCATCTTGAACCCTAATTTTCTGAAAATTTGGGCGGGAAATTATTCTAGGGCTTCGCAGGCGCGGCGATCGCTTGTTCTCACGATGCTCATCTCGGAGGTACTTAGTTGATGTGGCTACTGTGAATCCGTTGCGGAGGATCGAGCGCCTAGCAGGCTTCTTCTCTGGCAATCAGTGTCGATACTGCCGAAGAGCTCCAAGAATGCGTGCTCGGTCTCAAATCCGAGCTCTGAGAGGAGCAGTGGCTGCAAATCTGGAAGCTAAGTTACCAGCCGCCAGGCCGCGCAGCGGTGGATTCCTCGGGGGAATACCACGTGCGGCTTCGTTGAGATGCTCTTCTTGGCCGGTGCCGTTGGATCCATCAGGTCGCTCAAGATGGTTACATTCTTCCTTTAATCGGGCACGACCTCACAAGATCCGGAACTACAAATCGCGGCCGGCTGCTTCGAGCGAGCCACCGAGATCGTCTCTCATCGATTGGCACCAGGGAAGAGCAGCAGGTCATGTTTGATCTGTGTCTTGTGCGGTCAAGAAAGAACAGTGCGGGAGATGTCACACAAGGCGCTAGCTTCCAGTGTCCTAGGGAGGGCCCGTGGTTTTTTCCAAGACTCCCTGGAGAAATATCAAGAGCTGGTGGACATATATCTTCTCTACGGGAAATCACTCCTGGCGCTCCAGGGCTCGGAATCAAAGGCTGAGTCCGTCAAGTACATGGAGTAAGCGTATGAGATTTGCTCCGAGGCGCTCAAGGGATCGTGCAAGAGCAAGGGCGAGGAGCAAACTGTGACAAGCCAGAAGCTCACAATTCTCAGGTACATTGCTGCTGGGCCGCTCCAGAATGGGAACTTCGAGGGAGTTCTGAAGTGCGTTTCGGTTCTCAAAGGCTCCTTGGATCATCGTAGCACAAGGCATTGATTGGGCTCAGTCGCCACGAAGAGGCCAAGGAGGAGCATGTAGCTCTCATATCTTATGACAAGGCTGCAGTGGAGGTGTGCTTGTCCGCTTTGACGTTCTTGATCGAAGAGACGACGCAACAGCGGGAAGAAAGCGTTCTTCGTTTTGCTTTCGAGGTTTTCATCCACAAGAGAAGTCTGGCGCTTCTCTGAGTTTCTTTTATTTCACCGTTATATGAGAGCTGACTTTTGGTGTGTTTTTGTAATAGTGCCTCGGATTTCTTCCTACAGCCATTGTTCGAGGCTGCCATGCATTACCTGCCTGCGGAAGAGGAAACTACCATGAGAGCGAAGGCATTGCGTGTTTTATGTCTCTGCTATCTTTTGACCAAGTTCACGAGCTGATGAGAGAAACGTGTTGTGAAAACTTTCAGCATGCGCCTCAATGGGTACCATCTTTCTCGGCTGTGGACAGGTAGGCTTACTATTTCACATTGCTTCATCACAAACTTTTTTTTTCTGCAGGCAATGTTTGGTTGAAACTCGATTCAGGTCTGTTGAATTTTACACGCTATAGCTCTAATTCTCAGGCAGCCTCCTCATCAGTGCTCAAAGCAGTGGAAAGCACGACGTATGGGAAAGAGCTCTCGGGGCGGCAGTTCATAAGGCCCTCTGCTGCGTTTTGAGCCACGGTTGCATCACTCTGAGTCTTAGACGCGGCCAGCAACGTTATCCACTCGGCGTCTCTGGCTGAACTCGGATACTTTTTTAGGAGCTCCTCTGCTTCACGCAGCATTCCTGACCGGCTCAGCAGATCCAGCATGCATCCACAGTGCTCAACAGAAATCCTAAACTCGTAATCGACCAGCATTGATATGAAGAACTCGGATCCTTTTTTCAAGTTACCAGCATGGCTACAAGCACACAGAACACTAACAAAGGTAGCACCGTCGGGTCTCACTCCCTCCTGCTTCATTTTGGCGAACAGACCAAGAGCTTTTCTGAGGTGGCCGTGTTGAGCATAACCAGCTATCATGGCATTGCAAGTGACGACGTCGGGAAGAGGTATACTGTCAAAAAACTCCCGGGCTTCGCTCAAGCAACCACATTTTCCATACATGTTGACAATGGCCGTTCCCAGGATTACGTCGACGCTCATCTTCTGCTGAAGTATTCGCTGGTGTATAAGTTTCCCTTCGGTTGCAGCCACTGAGCAGGCGCAAGCATCCAGTGCTGCTACATACGTCCGTTTGTCAGCAACTCCGGGATCCATTTGGTGAAAGAGTTCCAAGGCTTCTTTGGGACGACCGTTCTGAGCATAGCCCGAGATCATGGTGTTCCAGCTAACAACGTTCCGGGCCTCCATTCTGTCGAAAACACGTCGCCCGTCTTCCAAACGTCCACACTTGATATACATGTTCGCGAGTGCCGTTGCCGCTACTACGTCCGACTCGAATCCAGCCTCAACTAAGTTGCCGTGAAGAGCTTCTCCCGCAGCAGCGTTTCCTGCCGAAGAACAAGCATTGAGGACGTTGACAAAGACGACCGAGTCGAGGCTTTCACCCTCCAGAATCATCATCCTGAAGAGCTGCAGGGCCTCGTGACCGTGACCGTTTTCTGCGTAAGCCGCAACCATGACGCTCCAACTGACTAAGTTCCTCTCCACTGTTTCAGATTCAAACACTTCGCGAGCTTTCTCTAGACAGCCGCATTTTCCATACATGTCTACGAGAGCATTCCTCACGAAGAGTACCGACGCCCGGCCACTTTCACAGCTGCAAGCGTGGATCAGCTTTCCTTCTGTCAAATCTTCCGGACAAGCACAGGCATTGATAGTAGAGATGAGAGTGATCTCATTTGGACTGAGGCCTTCCAGAAGTAGCTGCTTGAACAACGTCCGAGCACCGTCTCCTTGGCTGTCCCGGACAAGAGCCGATATCATCGAGTTCCACGACACCAAGTCCGGAGCTTCGATCCTTTCAAAGATCTTCCGGGCTTCGTCCAGCTTCCCGCTCTTGCCATACATGTTGAGCAGCGCGGTTCCAAGGATGACGTCCGACTCGAGGCCGAGATCGCAAACACAGATGTGAACCGCCTTGCCAATACCCAGCGTCAACGTAGAGCTGCAAGCATTGAGAACCGTGACATACGTGACACTGTTTGGGGCGACGCCTTCCAAGAGCATCAGTGTGAAGAGTTCCAAGGACTGTCCACAGCAGCCGTTCTGGACGTAAGCCGAGATCATGGCATTCCACAACACCACTCCATGCGGACGTCGGACACAAACTCCATCAAACCAGGCTCGAGCATCAACCAGGCTGCTGCACTTCCCATACATGCTCACGACCGAAGTTCCGATGATCTCGTCGTCCTCTAGCCCGCTCTCTAAGATCTGGAAGTGGATCGCCTTGCCGCCACTCAACGCTCTCTTCACAGAAACACAGGCTTTCAACACGGCTGTGAAAGTGAAACTGTCGGGCTTGACACCGTGCTGGAGCATCTGGCAGTAGAACTCGAGCACCTTGGTGCTGCTGCTGGATTGACGAGAGTACGCGGACAACATTGCCGTCCACGTCGTGACGTCTCGGAAGTGAGCCATCCTGTTCCTGTCCAAGAAGACGTCCTCGGCGTTCTCTACACTGCCACACTTGAGGTACATGTGGACGAGACGTTCACGCAGGTAAAAGTTTTCCTGAAAGCCAGACTCTACGACGTGACTGTGAATCTTTTGTGCATCTAGCAGGCTTCCCAGAGAACCACACTCGCGGATGAGACGAGCCAGAGTGAAGACGTCGGAGGAGCATAGCTTCGAATCGAGGTACTCTCTCAAGTTTAGCTGGTTGCTTGCACAGTCTGTAGCGAGTCCTCTGGCCAGCCTTCTCATACCGCTGCTAGAGGTCTTCCCGCGAGCACCATCTTCGCCTCTAGCTAGAAGTCCAGCAAAAACTGCGGTAGCATTCTTTCGAAATGTGTTGCTTCGATGCGGTCCTTTCCCTCGGCCTCTGCAATGATTCCCGCTCGCCCGACTGCCTCTGCATCAATCAGCCCAGAAGTTTTGGTTGAAACGAAATAGAGTAAACCCGACCTGTGACGAAGAGCTTGAGCAGCTCACAGGAGAGCTTGAGAGCATTCGCATTTGCTGCAAAACGGAAACGAAACTGGCCGCATTTCTCTATGATCTTTAGAAAGCTCTGCTTTGCTCACCAGTGGTAGACTTGGTTCTTTTCGAGGTTGCGCCTACGTTGGATTCATCCGCCTTGGCAACATCTGTTGTGGAGCTCAGACAAAAGAGAGAGAGAGGAAGAGCAAACCCTGGCTGGCCTTCTCCCAAACGCTCTTGAAAATCTCGTGAATTAGATGCTGTGAGAGGACAAGACAAAGGTAAGCTGGACCCAAGCCCACATTCCCTACCGGACTGATTCCCACACTTGCAGAAGCCTCGTCCATCACCGCTAAACCTAAAGTCCTATTCAGTTGCACTCTATGGGTCAGAAATCTGGGGACTTGAACTCTCTAAAAAGCAGTGGGGAAACCTAGAAACTATCACAACGACCTTCATTTCAAACGAACTCAACATCTCCACCAAAACAGCACTCCCCATACCATATGGCAAACTTGTGGATCAAGCAATTCTTGACTCTCATCTGCTGGCATGGCAACATGGACAAGGATGGTGGCACGACATAGAGACGTGGATGCACAAGTTTGGCATGGATCTCAACAACATTTTCGACACACTTAAAGAGGATCTTGAACAATGGTCGAACAAAGCAATGCACACATGGATACATGCCAAAGAACACTGGACAAAATATCACCTTTATTGCCAGGAGATAAACCCAGATGAAATGTTCAGACTGAACAAACTTTCAACATGGAGCAGACACACCATTGCCTGGTACTGCATAGGAAACCACAGCCTCCTGATCAAACCTGGATGCCGCAGACAGGGAAAACCTCCACGACATCTCCAGATCTGCTTGGTCTGCACAGAAGACACAGAGACGGTCAGGCACACACTCAAGGCTTGCCCTGCCTATGCCAAATTCTGCTCCCTAGACATCAACGGGATGCCAAAACAGACATAATCCTCGCAAACAAGGAGACAACCTCATCCCACGCCAATTACCTGAAACACATAGAGCTGCGATGGCAAATACATGTCACACATGCAATGGAGGCAGAGACCTTGAACGGCCGAGGAAAAGAAGACAGGTAGGCAGGGCCAGTGAGCGGGAGCACAACGACAATGAGGACGCCACCTATGCGAAAATGATAATCCAACTTGCATTTTTGCATCCATCAGTCTCATGCTTATAGTAGGGCATTATCAAAACAACATGTAGATAAACAGATAGATAGATAATTCTTCCATCTGATCCCACCAGGAGTCGTTCATGCCTGGGGCCCTGGCTCCACAAGCATTTAATATAGCAACAGTTGATTGCTCCAATTAGTAATTTGTGCTGCAAGGCAATCACTGCAGAGAATTATTGCCCAAAGGGGCTGCTGCTGCCTGGAATGCAATCAGTTATATCAATTTTGCATGAATGTATGATTTGTAAGCAACAGACATGTAAAAATATATGTAAAAAGGTACATACTGTCTGTATGGGATAGAAGATTCCCTGAAAATAAACACCAAGCATGAGATGTATCATGTCATTTAAGAAAGCTGCCACTAGCGCGTGAGTGATTGTTGAGAGATGTAGGCATAGTGCTCCAAGCTGTGTGAAAAGAAAAGATCTCCACTCCACTGAAATGTGGGCGCTGCCTTTTTAGTGCGATTGCTGCTGAACATACCCAAAAGCAAAGCCAAAGATGAAAATGGTTCTTCCATTGCTCCTTGCAGCATGTCTAGCAGTAGCAGCATCAGCAGCAGCACCTTCTGCTACATTCCCAAATCATGGGAAGCAAATCTTGAGATTTGCCGAAGACAGCTTTTGCTCCACGCTGGTCCTGGTTCATGGCTATCCTTGCCAGGAGTTCAAAGTAAGCGATATGAAAATCTGGTAGAGAAAGAACTTGCGAGAACAAAAAGAAAGAAAACCTCTCTATTTCTTAGGTGACAACTCCAGATGGCTACATTCTGCGAGTTCATAGAATACCACACGGTGTGGCGGGAGTTTCCTCGCCATCGCCAAAGCCAGTGTTTCTCCAGCACGGTGTTCTTCAGGTCTGTGTGGAAAGTAAAAGTATAAAAAAGAGTGTGTGACTGTGGAGCAGGGAGGAGACGATTGGGTGTTTTATCCCCCGCGCAATTCTTTAGGGTTTGTTCTCGCGGACGAAGGCTTCGATGTGTGGATCGGGAATCTCCGCGGCACGCATTGGAGTCGCCAGCATGTCTCGTACTCCTCCGGCGACAAGGTAATGCCCGGAATCTGTCGATTTGCGATTCATGATGTTGTTCTTGCGTTTTCTTTGCAATTCCAGGTGTTGTTCTTGTGTTTTCTTTGCGATTCATGGTATTGTTCTTTCGAAGAGCCGGCTTTTGTTTGCGATTGCTTGTTCCCGATGATTTTGTGCTTGGAGTCAAAGAATGAACTTTGTGAGTCGATTTTCTTTGCTCTTGAGTTTTCTTTGCGATTCGTGGTATTGTTCTTGAGATTTATTTCGAAGAGCTGGCTTTTGTTTGCGATTGTTTGTTCCCTCTTGGAGTTTCATTCCCATTTGTGGCCAAAGATGAACTTTGTGACTCGATTTTTCTTTGCTCTTTTCTGCTAGGCGTACTGGGACTGGACTTGGGACGAGCATGCCCAGTACGATCTCCCAGCCATGCTCAACTTGGTTCATGAAAACACTGGCTCCGAGCTTTACTATGTCGGCCATTCTCAGGTAGAATAGTGTTGTGGTGCTCGAGAGAGATAAGAGCTGGTGGTGATCTCCCAGGGAACGTTGATTGCTCTGGCAGCTTTCTCGGAGTCCAAGCTAATGAATGTCGTCAGGGCGGCGGTGTTACTCAGCCCCATTGCCTACCTCAAAGGCATGACTTCCACGCTTTCCAGGCTCGCTGCTCTACTCTACATGGACCAGGTGAGATTTTTTTTTCTCTCGTTTCTTTCGTTTCTTCTTTTTTTCTCGCTCGATCGAGAAATCGCGGTCACAGGTCACTCACTACTCAATGCTGCTGTGATCTGCAGATCTACGACGACATAGGCCTGTCACAATTCACTCTTGAAAGGTAAACAAGGATTGATGGTTTCCTTCTCTTTGTTTGTTCTTTAAGTTTTGCTTGCTTTCAGTGGAATCGGTGCGTACCTCCTCAGGAATTTATGCTCGCTGGACCCCCGATGCGCAGACCTGCTGGTCCTTGTGACGGGTAATTCTTGCAACTTCTTAAAAAGCTTACACGTTTTCGCTTTCTGGACAGGCCGGAATTGCTGCTTCAACGCGAGCCTCACTTCTTACTACCGCCAGTTCGAGCCTCAAGGGTCTTCCACGAAAAACTTAGTTCACCTTGCTCAAAGTAAGCTCTTTGTTTTGTTTTTCCGATGCAATCTCGACGCTATTGATTTTTTTTTTTCTTGTTTTCTCGCTTGGCAGTGGTGAGAACCGGTTTGTTTGCAAAGTTCGACTATGGTAGCAGCCTCGGGAACATCCGCGCCTACTCGCAAGTGGTTCCTCCGACGTACGAGCCAGCCAACATTCCCAAGAGTTTTCCAGTTTTCCTCGTGTATGGAGGCAAGGACACATTGTCTACGGCACAGGGTGTCCAGGAACTGGCCAAGCGCCTCGTTTGCACGCAGCAAACACTATTTCTTCCAAACTACGCTCACGCGGATTTTGTTGTAGGAACCCGAGCAAGGCAAGACGTGTTTGACCCGGTGATTAAATTTATCAAGGCAAACTAAGTAAAGGAAATCTCTGATAAAATCAAGCCTTTTTTTTTGGTGATGTTCCTTCCAACAATGTAAAGCAGCGTAGACAACATTGTGGGAGCGTGTGATTGACAGTATAAAATTTTTTAACTCCTTTCTAGATGGTGCGAAAGAATTTCCGTTCCTAGCCATTCAAGCACACGAGAAGGCTATGTCTGATTAACGATAATCCCGAACTAATCAAACAAAAGTTAAAGATTCTCGGTGGCCAATGGGGGACCAGCTTCTTTCTCATAGGCATGCGCACCAAAAGCTTCAAAGTCTAATATAACTGTAATTAACCAATTGTGTTATGTTAATATTTTTAGTAAAGTAAAATGTGGTAATATATCTTACCTTTATTATAATTACAACCATCTTTTATAATTTACTTTAATTATTATTTTAATTATATCAAATAAGAAAAAATATGTAATTAATTTTTATATTTGGATTCTTTATAGTTTCTAAATAAGGAATTAATAGGATTATACCTCACATTTTTATGTTTACCCTCTTGCAGTATGAAAAGAAAGAAAACTTTTGGTTTTGGTTGCTCTTGTGCCTGAGGATCTTTCTTTGTTCTTTGCAGCTTGAACCGAATCAGTTTTTTGAAGGCAAGTCGCTTGTTTGAGCTAGCAAGCTAACTACATCAATCTGTAAACTTACAGTTCAAGATACGCATACAAATAAATGACGAAGAGATTTCGAACCAGAATATCTGACACTGGCATCACATGAAGCTGTGGCCTGCAAGAACATCAAGGTTGCGGTGTTTGCTTTTCTTGGGAAGAGGGGCTGAGCTTGATGATCGTGCTGTGCATATTTTGTTTTCACCAAACCGCTGGGAGAAGAGGTACGACTTGAAAATATTTCTTGACTATATCTTGGGAACAGCTCATCTTGTTTTCTCACAGGCTGCAGATGGAAAATAAACTGATGGCTCGGACAACGTTGGTAGTAGATCGATATTCGTACTCAGGAGTGGCTTTCTCTGCTGCGAAAGGACTGGATCTTGAGTGGTGCAAGGTGAAAACCACTGCCTAAGCTTTAGCGTTTGACTAAGAGCACCTGGACAGGCTCCCGAGGTCGAACTTCTTGCTGCAGACCTGGTCTTGTACCTCGATATTTCGCCAGAGGTACGCTACATTCTATAAAGCAGCTCTTTCATTATTTTTTGTTTAGGAAGATGTTGTGCTAAGTTTTAATCCTAGAAGTTGCTTGATTGCACAGTTCGGTTTCTTAGTTTCGTGCATTTCTGCTCTCGCTTTTGTTCATTGGGAAGGTCTGACTGGTAAACTATGGATAAGTTTGGATCATAATGTTGGTCATTTCGCTTTGTCTCCTGACATAACATTTATAATGATCTTGCAAACTCTGACTTGATCTTTCTTCGTTTTTCTTTGATTTTCCTCCAGGTAACCACGCGAAGAAACCAACTCGCGAAGACAAAGGCAAGTCCGTGGCAGCAGGCTATCACTCTCCGCTTGCAAACTTGGTCGAGCTGGCAGACATGACCACGCCGGAGGATCGTCCAGGCAGCAAAACCAGCCATCCTCCTCGGCGGGCCGAGATATCCAAAGGCAGGCAACCACCGGACGCTTCTCCAAGCTCTCCCGGCCGACGAAAGGCGTCCCTCGACGTCGCGGTGGAACCAGCGCCAACAATGGCGGAGAACTTTACAAGGCTCGCTTCCAGGACGTCACAGGCCAACCAGTTAAGTCCTTTCGTTTTCCCTTAGAAACTTCTCTGGCTTCGCAGGTCATCTTTCTCCCAATCTCTCTCTGTTTTATTTTTCTCTTTGGCGTCTGACTTGCCGGATCCAGAGGAGCGAGGACTTCCCGTGATCATAACAGAATAACTCAAACGACTTGTGTTTTTTTCAACTCCACTGACTTCTCTAAACACGCAGAGACGGGACTTCCTGTATCGAAGTACATTGCGACGAAGCTAAACCTCGGCAATGAAACCGACGTAAGCCCCCTTGCTCCTCTTGACTTGTCGCAGAAACCAGCGCAAACTTTCTTCCATCCTTTCTCATTTTTTACTCTCTCGTTCTTGACTCTTCCTCCAGGTTGAACCGAATTGCCAGAGCCTCGGAGTGATATGGTGGCTCGGAGTGATATGGTGGTCACTTTGCCTTGATTCACGAGTATAACTGGCCCTTGGTTTTCTTTACGTTTGGTTCGCTGGGAGTGGTCTGGTTTACATTCTGGCAGAAAACCGTGAGTTCGCTCATACTTTGCATTACTTCTCATTGTCAGTTTTGTTTTTCAGGCATATAGCTCGCCTGTGGAAGATATCACACTTTCAGAGGAAGAGATTGCCCCGGCTCTATTTAATTACATGAAAGTTAAGTGAGAAATAACAAACTCGAGCGAGGAGGACGAAGAGCACAAATCTTAGAGCAGTGATTCGGGTAAATTGCTTGTATCACTTTCATGCAATGCTAAGTTTTAATCCTAGAAGTTGCTTGATTGCACAGTAGTCCTTCGGTTTCTTAGTTTCGTGCATTTCTGCTCTCGGAGAACTGTACAAAGCTACTCTTCCTCCTCGCTTCCAGGTTGTCACAGCGGTTTGCTCTCAAACCTTTCGTTTTCCCTTAGAAACTTCTCTGGCTTTGCAGGCCATCTTTCTCTCGATCTCTCTTTGTTTTATTTTTCTCTTTGGCGTCTGACTTGTCGGATCCACAGGAGTGAGGACTCGGTGCTTCCCGATCATAACACCCTACGTGAGAATAACGTAAGACGATTTCAACTCCACTGACTTCTCTAAACACGCAGAGATAGGCAACTTCCCATATTGCTGGTCAAGAAGTACATTGCGACGAAGATAAACTAGGCCCTCTTGACTTGTTGCAGAAACCAGCGCAAACTTTCTTCCATCCTTTTTCATGTTTTACTCTCTCGTTCTTGACACTTCTCCCAGGTTGAACTGAATTTCCGTGGCCCCAGGAGCAGGAGGAAGGTATGTATATATGTGCTCAATTTTAGCCCTTCGTTGGTGGTCAAGCATTTGCAGCATTGTTTTACTGATGCAATCCATTGGTTTTCTTGGCCGGGCTTACGCAGCTTAGCCATGTCCGTTCACCTTCTCTGTGTATGATGGTTTCCCAGGTAATATCCTCTCCATATCTACCTTTAAGTGGAAATTTGGTTTGATATCTGGTCTTTCACACGTTTTGGATTCCAACCATCAAGTCTTGGCCCTTGCGATGCGGTAATTAACTAGTCTGGCATGTCCTACTTCTGGCCAGAACTATCAACAACTTTTCGATTTAGTAAGAGGTTGCTTTTTTTTAAAGCTATTTTTGTTCTCACTGATCTCCAGGAGCAGCACATTCAGCGAGCAGCGGATCGACCAGACAAGAGCAGCGTGAGCCGAGCAAGCAGCGATCCAGCACTAGCCAGGCAGCCACAGCCGAGCAAACAGCGATCCAGCTCCATCCAACAACGCAGCGGTGCAGCAATCTAGCTCTAGCAAGCAGCGATCCAACTCCATCCAACAACACAGATCCAGCTCCATCTAGCAATGCAGCAGTGCAGCCACGTGCAAGTAGCACATTATGCAATTTCTTGCTGATGTGGCATTTTATGTTTGCAACGTGGCAATGATAATGAAAATCAATAAATCAATTTAAAAATTCATGTATTATGAAACTGTGAGGGCCAAGTGTATGGCTACGATGCTATATACTAATATTAGCATAGTGGATTTTGGTAGCCGTCGGATTGGTTTCAATCCGGACCACTTGCTCTTGTATATAAACTAGGGTTTTTGGGCTAATTGATATGCACATTTCTGTATTCCCTTTCCATATTCTATGCACTCACATTGGTGGAGATGAGGGGCACCTTTGATTGTCCCTGGGAGTGCTTGGATTTGGGATTTCAGTTTAGATCTAGCTTTTGCATTGTTTAGATTTAACTTTTTCCATTTCCTTTCTTTTGTTCTTTCCTTTCAGGATTTTGGTTTAGATCTAGCTTTTTGCATTGTCTAGATCTACCATTTCTTTCCAGCTTTTTGTCATTTCTCTTCTTTTGCTTTTTCTTTCTCATTCATCTTCATGGCCGATCCGCAATCTCCTCCTTTGACTCTAGAGCAGCAGTTGGTTCAATTGCTTGATGCTATGCACTTGCAATTGAACAACCAAACTCAGTTGATGGTGGCGTTCACGGCACATGGTACAACTCCTCCTGCTTTTGGTGCCAATCCTCGCGTTCGGCCGGAGTTCTTTCGTGGGAATCCTGGGGATGATGTGTACCATTGGTTCGATCACTTCACGGTGATTGCCACATATCATTCTTGGGATGATACTCGACGTTTGCGTGAGTTCCCCACATGTCTCCAAGGGACGGCATTGCAGTGGTACAATGGATTGAGCGCAGCTACTCGTGGCGATTGGAGTGTTCTTCCGGACATCTTCAAACGCGCCTTCAGACACGCCGACGATTGTGATGATGCCTTCCAACAATTGCATCGTCTTCGCCAAGGGCCATCTGAGTCGGTGATGCAATTTGGCGTTCGTTTCCGAAGTCTTTTGCTTCGTGCGGAGCCAAATATGTCGGAGCGGATCAAGTTAGGAATGCTGTGGCCAGCACTTCGTCAAGATCTTGTCGGACTTGTGCATGCACTTGCTCCTGCCACTCTTGACGATGCTCTTCGCTTGGCACAACGTTATGAGACGTCACCTCTTCCACTTCTTGCTACACGTCCTTCAGCTCCACTTCCTATGAGTGATGGTCCTGTTCCCATGGAGGTTGATGCTGTTGCTACTCGAGTCCAAGGACAAGGGCGAGGACGTGGTCGTGGTCGTGACGTTCGTTGCTGGGCGTGTGATGAAGTTGGTCATACTTATCGGCGTTGTTGGCGCTTTCCGGATTGGCGACCTCCATTTCCTGGGTGGAGACCTTGGCGTCAGCAACGTCCCGTTGGTGCTGCTGCGGTGGAAGGTTTGGATACCGAGGTGCATTCGGGAAACGAGGAGTCGCACGAGTAATGGAGGGACCTTGTGCGAATAAGTTAGTGACCCCTCCA